TTCTTCACTACGGGATGATTGAAATAGACGTAACTCTTACAGTTGTTAAGCTGAAATAGACTTTCTCAGGGACATTGCGCTGTCATGTCGGTAAACCGCAAGGAAGTTCCGTGATTTTATGTTCAACCGGCAGAACCAGATCTAGTTGTCAGGTGGTGTGGGCCTCATTAGCACCTTATTTTTGTAACAGAACTAGTGTTTGTTTGTTTTTCTTGCATCTGTTGCCAAGGTGGGTAGGGACTATGTGGAAAGAATAGAGAAGAAAATAAATAATTTGTATTAATACAGTGAATTGAAAATACATAGAGGTGGCATTCATGGAAATAATATGTTCAAGGAGCGAGTGTTTGTTTGCATGAAATTAGTGTGATTTTTTGTTTAGAATTAATGTCATTTAATAATTAGATTATATGCTGTATAAGCGGTGATTCAGTATGGCAACGTAAACAAATAAAATAAACTGTTTACTGGAAGGAATCCATTTGTATTTGATTGTAGAAACTTCATAATTATGTATTCGAAGTTCATAGTTGGAATTCGTGTTTACGAGGCTCTTCTGTTACATGCCAGTGGATTTGGACTCATATTTGAAGTCTTGGTCTTGTTTTCTCTTTTATTTTGTACATTAAATATCCGTTGGTCAAAAAATACTGTTGTTGTGCCCTTCATTTTTTTATTCTCGGAGTTTGAATTTGAAATTTCACGTACGTTGATTATGTATCAAAAATGTAGGTGGTATATAATGAGTTAACTTAATTACACCTACCACCTCAGTTTGATAAAATTAGAGAATCATCTTTCAAAACATTTTAATTTTGTTTTTTATAGGTTGCATTCACAACAAGAATTTATCATCCAAACATAAATAGTAATGGTAGCATTTGCTTGGATATTTTGAGATCACAATGGTCTCCAGCTCTTACAATTTCTAAAGGTAAGTGTTTTGGGCATAGTTTTGTCATTAATAATGATTTCAAATGACAGATGATTGTAGATGACAGGATTTTACAAGTCTGTAGTCGTATGAGATTAACCGAGTGCAGTAATATTAATTATAAATTTGCTGTGATACTTTGTACATGTTAAGTAATAGGGCCAGTATATTGCATGTAGAACACCGTTCTAATATTATAATTTACTTCGTTAAAGAACAGGTTTTCACGTGTTTGTGCATGTGTATCAAGTCACATAATTGAGAAGAAAATGACCATAATTAAACTGTTTTAGTAAATCCATTTATGTAGTTACTGTAAACTGTTACTTCAGTCTGTACTATTTGTGTAGAACTACGCTTTTTGTTGGGGTTCTGTTGCGTTGCTTTCTCAGCTAGAATATTTAAGTCAGTATTGTTTTTGTTCCGTATTCGGTCCATGGCCTCCCTAGCCAGATTGGTCGAGGGGGAGAGGTCAGACTAAGACAGGTACCCTGGTCCTCCAGGTTGGGGGGTGGTCGCAAGGCTAACAACCTTGCACCGTAAAAAGAAATATGTCTCGAAACCTCGATCAAAGCCTCGGACAGACGGACCTAACAGAGGACCGAATGGAAGAGGTGAATTGAGGAGGCCGTGGACCGAATACGGACCGGAGGGCCATAGAAGAAGAAGAAGAAGATAGTTTCTGACTACGTACTGGACAATTGGGGTTCTGTTCCTGGCAGGGCCGAAGAATTTTTGTCCTAGCGTCTCTGTCGAGACTGGTTCTGGGACACCCAGCCTCTCCAGTGGGTTTGGGGTCATTTCCTCAGGGTAAACCATCGCCACTTACCCCTATTTTGTGCTGAGGTCAAGAACACATAGGAGCTACAAAATTTTTGAGTTGATGTCTTTCTTAGTAATTTTTAATTTTGAACAGTGGATTGGGAATTTGCATGTTAACTTGATTAAAGGTATGTCGCAAAATCGTTTGCTGACGGAATCTTATGTGTGATATTGCTGCAAATATTAGTTGGTAATATTTTCTGTCATCTCAAATGATTCATTATTTTGTATTTTAGTTAATAAGTGCATCTTTAACACACATCGCACATTTGTGATAAACATTAATATGAGAGTGTTTACTGTTGCGATTTCTTTCCAGTTCTTTTGTCCATCTGCTCTCTGTTGTGCGACCCAAATCCGGATGATCCATTAGTGCCAGAAATAGCTAGGATATACAAGACGGATAGGGAAAAATACAATGAACTTGCGAGGGAATGGACGCGCAAGTATGCCATGTGATGCCCTCGACCTCCTTCAGCGGCCCAGCTCACCCAAAATCAGCTGTCCGTTCTACATTTTCTAACGAGAAATAGAGAAACAAAAAAATAAATAACAGGACAAGAACAACAATGAAAACAACTTAAGGGACTTCCTGACGCTGGTGTTCTGTAGTTCTGGCCATTGCTAATTATTCATCTCTAAACTCTCTCTTTTTATTAAAGAGATATTTCATGAAAAGATGAACTTTGTTCAATAGTTGTTGTCCCTCCCTTCGAATTATTTGCACATTTACTAGGTGGTTTTTAATAATGGAAAAAGTACGTAAGATTTTTTCGTTGGTGTCAAAGTAGGTGTACTTCGAAAATTTCTGTCTTCTGGGTCGTTGCGCTGTGTAGTCTGGTCGATGTTAACCGATGTTTCAGAGGTCATACTGCCACCGTCACAAGGGCGATTCATCGCCTTCATCGCCCTGATGACGGAGGCAGTATGACCTCTGAAATGTTGGTTAACATTGACCAGACTACACAGCGCAACAACCCAGAAGACGGAAATCTTCATACTCACCACTGTGAAAACCTCAAATCTTACATAGGTGTACTTTTTTTATAATGTGAAATATTAAAAAGTAGAATAATAACACGCTGAACAGTCTGATCTGAGCAAGCGACGGTTTGGGTTTTTGCCGGGATGGTACGCTACTTTTGTCCGGTCACAGGAAGTTCCTGAGAACCTCAAAGTATTTCCCCCCCCCTTCACTGTCTCGTCTCATCCGCCCAGAAGACCGCTCCTCAGCTTGTCTATGTCATAGTTGGCCACTTCTAGCTGCAAGTTAAATCACGCTCCTTTTCCTGCTTTGTTACACTGCCAGCCGTCTTTTAAATGCATCTAGTTTTTTGGTATGGCGTTCCCACCACGGTCCCAGCCTCTTCTCTGAGCCTTGGATGGGCTCGTGTCATTTGCTTGCTTCGTGTAATAATTTAATGGAGGAAAGAGGTTTGAACTGCAGTAAAAAAAGGGACCTTTGTGATTTTTTCTCTCATTGTATATTTTTTCCCCCCTTTCATTATTTTTTCAAATGGAACTTGTGTAATCATAATTTTTGTGAAACTTGTTAATAAACACTGAATAATACACGGTCAGAATACTTATTTGTCGTGTGGTGGGTTTATAGTCATCTGTTTATTCACTTCGCGTTTCAAATTATTCTTTGTTGCGCTTTGTTTGAGGTTCATGTATTTTGAAATGACAATTCAGAATTGTTTCAGTCTCTTGGGAATTTTGTATTTGTTACAATGAGAAGTAATAATTTAGCTTTTTGAGAAAGTTCTGCTTTCTGATTGTTTCTGTATAGAGTCATTGCGGTGGTCTGTTGTCGTCAAACGTTCGTGAGGCGTTAGGTGGGTTATATTTGATGTTGAGAGTTTTTCATAGTAGTGCAGTGCTTTGACGGAGTGCCGTTCGTCTGGTTTTTGTAAATCGGCACATATTACCAAAATCAAAAAGTTTTAACGAGTCGTCATATAGCCCGAGTGGCAAATGCCGTTCTTTTAGTATCTCGGCGTATTTTGAATGAGGAATTACTCGAGGATTCTATTTTATTTTGGTTTCGGCCTGGACTGTGTTATCAAAATGAACCAGTTTATTATAATAACTTAATTTATAAAAAAAAAAATATTTTGGCTTAATTTCTTTTCAATCCTTGACAAGGAACGAATCTCTGAAGATGTGAGGTTATGTTTGTAATTTTCTATTGTGTATACGACTCCCATTTTGTCGTCCTCGGTTAGATTTCAGGCAGCATTCTTTTCTTAAGCAATGCTGCTGTTGTGTAATGTGCAAAGCTCAAAAAAAAAAAAAAATGAAAATAAAGTTCCGAAGTTTCCGACACTAAAATTATTTTTGTTTATTAACATTTCTGTCAAATATTTCATGTGATCATAATAGGGTTTATGTTTGTTGTAAACTTTTTAATGCTCTTTGTTTATCCATAACCTGTTGGGGAAATTGCTATAAAACGTAATGCTTAATTTAATTTTTTTGTTTAAATATTATTGGTATGAGTGTGTGTATCCGTAAGTATGAAGTCTGCGTAATTTCTTTATGTTGGCATTTTCATATTAAGTTGAATAAAATGTTGTGTTCGATGGGCGGTTTGGGAATGTATCTACATTTCCTAATTTTTTTCCGTGTAGTCGGTAGTACTTGTGGAATTTTTGGATCAGACTTTGCTACGAGACTACGCGGTTCTACAACCCAGAAGACGTCCCTTTTAAGGCTTATGCTAGTTTGGAACTTGTGTCTGAAAATTTTATTACAGGATTTTACGTGACTGAACTCCTCTCGAGATGCAAGAAGAAATGTCTGCGTATGAAAGAATAAGTCACGGTAAGATGTCGAGGTAAATCAGTGCTATATATGGTAGGCCCCATATTCTGACGACACTTTCAGCTGGTGTATATTTATTTATTGGTTCGGGGAAGCAACTCTTTTGTTCAAAAATAACGTAAAGGTAAAAAGTTTAATTTTCGCATGGTTCTTTTTGACGTATAAGATTATATTACAGTTTATTGTAGAAGTAAAGTTGGTCGAGGATTTATTTACAAAACAGTTTCAGAATGGTTTAAGAATTGTTGATAATTAAAATGGTGTCGGTGTTTAGTAGTCTGGTCTGAATATTCAGGATGCAGTTTTATGTGAGGTCTTCAGATGATATTCACTTGTTTATTAGTGACTTAAGTTATAAATTTGTTTTTAAAACTAATTTTAGACCTGTGCCTCCACTGACAATAAAACCATGTTTGTAGGTGGTAATACTGGTCTGTTTTGTTATTCCGTTATGCACACGACATTCCCTAAGATTTTCAGGAAGGTTGATCCTTTTTTTAAATTAAATATACTTTACCTGGGCCTAACAAACCTATTGCTTTATAAGTTAATAAACTCGTATTTTCAGTCTACTTTTAATAAAAAAAATGTTTGTGGTGTCTGATCCTACGTAATAACTTACGAACCAACTGAATGATTTTCGTCAAAGTTCATACGAACGTGCCATTCCGTAGTATGAATAATACCAACATGTCGGCTGTGGAAATTGTACTAACATTGCTTAATGTAAGGTTATTTAACTTTGTGTGGTGATTGTGTCTGTATTATATCTGTATTTACGACGACCAGTTCAGTGGTTAATGAGACGAGGGAGTGTTCAGCTACTTTTGAAGTTCGGAGCAGAATCAAAAATGAGATTTCAAAGTCTCTTGGCAATGAATACGAAGGTGTCTGTCTACTGGGATGTGGTAGATATAAGTACTAATGAGTACTCTGCCATCTTCAGGACCTTAAATTTATTGTCTCTTAATTATTATAAGGATAGATTTAACAGGCGTGTTTTATATATTTGTTGCCCTTTGGTAATGCAGAAGAAGGTCGTAGAATTAAATATCCCTCATCATGCTCGGCTATGTCGTATACATTTATGGCCTGATTAGATTGAGGAATTAATTAGAATAAATGCAATAAACCTGTCTAACGGCGTAAAAGGCCTTTTAAAGACAGTTCTGTGACTGGCGACATTGGGCTGATAAAGGTTAATGTGCGTACTAAAGAGATCTTTTAAATTAAATGGGTTACTGTAGGGATATATTTAATTTGTGTGGTGCTCAAAGGTGTTTTTGTTTATATACCTGATGCACATAGTGTTTTACCTGGAGAAAACCACATCAAATTTGAGGAATATAAAATATTTTAGTAGCTAAAATGGTGCGCGAATATTACGGAAAGTTCCTATCTTCTATGGATCTCCGGTCCGTATTCGGTCCATGGCCTCCTCATGCGTAAAAGTCCGGTTGGTGTTTTATGTATAATCACACCTTGAAAAATTTTGAATTTAGTGACGTATTTGCTTTTAGAGACGAAGTAGTTTGTACTTCTACGATATTTGCACAGTATTGTAATGGCTACTGACCTGATAATGTGGGGGATTTTCTGACAAAATTCTTGTGTGTAATATGAATTTGCCAGTTCTAGCTACATATTAAGTTATTATATTTGAAAAAAAAGCATGCTTCGTTGTCAGATTGTGGTCTTCTGGGTCGTTGCACCAGGTAGCCTCGTCGGTGTGGATGTTTGGATGTGTTAACAACTGTAGAGTATTTGTATTGAAAAGTGTGAGACAGGGTACTTACTGGTCCTCAGAAAATGTACCGCTGCTTAGCAATCTGTGGATTAGAAAAGCATTGTCCTCGTCTTTTTTTATGTGTTTATGATTTAGATGATGATTACAACTTTGGAGCATTTGTATTCCAGTTCCTGTAATGTGGTGTGCAGAAACCGTAATGTTAAAAATGTTTTAATAGTGGCCTGCTTCTATACTGTGTATTATATTTGGACTTAAAATAATAATTTAATCCCCTCTACCCTTAAGTAAACATTTCTAAATTGATTTTGTCAAAAAGAACGTTGTTCAGTGTTAGTTATGTACAGAATTTTGTTTTCTTTTTTCAAGGGTTTCTCATGTTGGAAGATGACGTAAACATGGTCGTATATTAATAAATATAATTTCTTTTCCTACTTGTGTACGAAACATTTCCTTTATTTATTGTATCATCCCTTGTAGCAGTTGCACTCGTCACCAAGTGATGTTAGGGTGATAAAAACCGAAGTGGGTGAGATTGGTGGGACATGTAGCACAAATGAGGCCTATGAGAAAATGCACACAGGATTTTAGTTTGGGAAACCTGGAGGGAAAGAAGAAACAACTTGGGTGACGTCGTCATAGATGTGAGGATAATACTAAAATGAGTTGAGCAGGGTACGAGGGTTTGGACCGGATCCATTTAACTCGGGACGGGCCAGTTACGGGCTGTTACAAAGAGATAACACCCGGTTTGGAAAAGAAGCGGTGAATTTGTTAACCATTTGAGCGAGTATTAGCTTTTCAAAGACTGCTCTGGATTTTATGTTCGTTAACCTTCGGTAGAATGTGAAAATTCATATCGGCGGCGCCTGGTCCAAAACGTCCGTTGTGAATTCTAGTTTCAGTGCTAAGTGAAACAGCGTTTCAAGGCGTCAGGGGTCATCGATCCGAGAGTGAAATTAATAGACTTGGTCCGTGGCCCTAATTTGGCCCTCATACAGGTGTTGGGAGGGGAATGCCAGCCAGTCGCCAGCTTTCAATAGCACTACACTGAGTTGTCAATAACTACGCTAGTTCAACCACGTCTGCGTCGGCCTGAACCTGGCGTCTGTTCACTCTCACGTGTGGTTTTAATAGGTTGCTTCCAGCTTTTCTATATTACCTTAGCAGTACGTTTAAAGCTAAAGATGAGACGGTTTGGTGTTTGTGACGTGCTGTGTGTTGCCACCGTAAGATCGATTTTTATGAAATCTTTTTTAATACCATTCTTGATGATGGAGGCAGCAGCACTTCTGAAACGTCGGTAAACTTTTACCTTACTACAGGTACAACATCCCACAAGACCACTCTTGATTCTCGCCGTAGTGAAAAACCTTAAAGCTCACTTATAATTCGTGTTGTTTGTAGTAAATATTTTTAGTGGTTCTCATAAATTTCAGGGAAATCCTGGGGTCGTCTCAGATTTCCTACGACTCATTCCTTCTGCTACATCCTCCTTGAAAAGTCTGCAGTTAAGGAGTAGACAGCTTTTACAGAATTTGAATGTTTATCAAACAACCCCCCCCCCTCCCCAAATTGAATTGGAATGAGTCTGTAGAGACCAGTCCAAACCATACTTGTTTTAAGACCCATTTTAACATTATTCTTCCATCTGAAACAGGGTCTCTCACAATTTTCTCCCTTCGGGTTTTCCGCTTACAATTTTGCATGCATTTTTCATGTGCCTTCTACGATTCTGAAACGCCATTATTTTTTACTTAACGAGTCAAACAGTTTTAGGTGAAGTGAATACATTATGCATCTTTGCACCATGAAAATTTTCTTTTCTCATATTTTATAATTAGAGGCCTTTTGTGATAGATAATTCATAGACGCGACAGTTCTAGACGTTTGTGGCGAATTGTTCTCACGTTCAATAGCTAAATGTAGGAGTAACAAATGTACTTCCATAGATACCTTCATATTGCTTCGCCCCCATGTGTCTTTAAAGTACTGCCACGTGATTATTTTGCAATGAAAACATCTTTCTATAGAAATATGTTGATCGTAATACATCGAGGTTATTAAAATTAAATAATATAAAGCTGTTGAAAATATGGAGACTGTTTTTAATAATCTGGTCTGTGTTATTTGGGCACAGATACGAAATCTGTATTGAGCCTTTTGTTTGTGACGATGGGTAAATAACCATTACGCTAGGCGTGTGGATTTTTATGAAGACCAAAACTTACCAAAAAATCTCTAGTAAATATTGTATATGTTAACAGTTACGAACATGGCGACTGTTCGATACTTCGAATTTTTATTCGACAAGTGCTTTATAATTTAGTGGAAATTTTGGAAAGGAGCTGTTCATTAGTTTTGTACGTATACCCCCCCCCCTTTTCATTCTAGCCTTGTGGTATAGACCAGTGGTATTCAACCTGGGGTACGCGAAATTTTAAAAAAATATATTATTTTATAATAAACTGAATAATCAGTAATGTAATTTATTTACTTTATTTTAGATGTAGATTATATACTATATATAACTTGAATTATACACCAACAACTTTGGAGGGTACAAAGCTGAAGAGAAATTATATCTGGGGGTACTCGAACAAAAAATGTTGAATACCACTGGTATAGAATGACGCATTTGAAGTAAAGGCTTCCCTCATGCCTGTTTAAAATCATTGTCCAAGAAATGTTTAAAATCAGCTCTTAAGTTATGAAGGCTGCAAGGGATCGTATGTTCAGACGGCTTACAAATAAAATATCACCAAGTACAATAAAAGAAATCTTGAACATGAAATTATCCACGTAAATGAAAATTCTCGACAGGAGGACCATAGTGTGGGTAGTAAAGATTAAAGGGTTTTCTGTTTGTGTGTTGGTCATCCATGTAGAAGGTCTCGAGTTCGAAACCGGTCGTGCACAGTGCAGATTTTTTATTTTGTGTTCAAATTGTTTTTAATATGATGTATACACAGCTCACAGCAGAATCCCGCGTTATGCCGCTGCTACTGTCATGTGGCACTTTGTGTTTGTGCATGCTGCGTCGTATTTGTTTGTGTTTCAATCACCTTGAAAATATGTTACTGACGTTCTTGGCCGGCATTCACGAGGTAAAGGAACTGTAAGTGGGCAAACTTCTTGTTATGGTACGATATTCGTGTTCAGATGGCAGCATTTATCAGACTCACTCACTACCGGCCATCTCATGCTTCTTGATTTGATGACTACAATAATATTTAGCGAAGAACACAAAATATGAAGCTTCGCAGGTTCGCATAATCTCGTCAGTACTGCGTTGTTCAATCTGTGTACTTCCCTATGGGCGAGAGACCACGATTCAGACATTTGCAAAACAACAGGTAAAAATTATTTTGTTGTGGATTATTATAATATTTAGGTGTTCAAACAGGAACCGGGAGATATAAAAATTTGAACTATATGGTAGCAAGTTTTTTCCAAATTTTATGTGCACGATTACAAATCACTTTCTGAACCAACTATG